AAAAATGTTAATTATTAAAAAAATAATAATGTTGGTACGGGAAGTTCTAGCAATTTGCCTTAAGGCACGATGCATTAATTGCCTTAAGACAGAATTCCACTTATAGCTAGTTAAGCTTATTATTTTAACCTTTTTTTATTTTACAACTCATCACATCATAAAAACAACTTTTGACAAAAATTTTGACTATGATATTTTTCAAACTTTGATGAATTTTTAAAAATTAAACTACTTGCCGTAGAAACCGTATATATTATAACCTAAAAAGCTTCATCAAAAAATTTTTTTTCAACAATCAATTACGAAGAAACGACTCGGCCGATCTTTGACCAAAACTAAACAGCATGACTCGCAAATAACATCTTTCAAATAGTTTTTGAATTTTTAAAATCTGTTCAAAATTTTTGGCTAAAATGAGGCCGAAAATTTTTTCTCTTTTCTGCCAATTACAACAAAAAAACGGCTAATCTTATCAAGTTTGATTAAATGGTTTTTAGATTTTTAAAATCGACTTAACCATTTTTGAGAAAACTTTGATGAAATATCTAATTTTGACAAACGGCAAAAAATTGCGACAATTTTTTTCAAACTTTGTCGAATTTTCAAAGTTAAACGAGTTGTCGTAAACCCGTAATATTTTTTGATCATGAAGACCAAGACATCAATTGCCAAAAGAAAATTTGTGAAAATAGCCGAAATTTTTTTTTGACAGTTAATTACAAGAGAACGTGCCAGCGAATCTTTACCAAAAACTAATCAGTATCTTTACCAACCAATACCTTTCAAACAGTTTTTGAGTTTTTAAAATCTATTCAGAATTGCGGGCTAAAACGTGGACGAAATCTTTTTCACTTTTCTGCCATTTACAAAGAAACGGCTCGGCCGATCGTCGCACAAAACTGATAAACGCTAGTCCTCATCGAGATGCATCGAATTTTAAATTTCCAAGATCGTGCAGCCGTTTGTGAGAAAACGTCAATTTACGGTGAAAAATCTGTTCACGCACACGCACATATACACACATACCTTTTCCAAATTTGGTCTCATTCGATTCAGAATGGCTTAAAACTTCGAGGAAGCATAAAATTAACGAATCGATTTTTTTTATGAAAACCTAATCTTCTTAGGGAAGTTAATTAAAGTTTCGAATATATCAAAACTTCAAATTTTCTACATCAGAAATTTAAACGTTTAAAAAGTCGACATATAAGAATGTAAAATAAAAACAAACTTCTCCTTCGGGAAGTTAAAAATTTCAAGTTTAAGTTTAATTTAACAACAAAATTTTGAAAAAATAATATAAATTTGCATAAAAATACAATTTACTTCTTTTTTGAAAAACTTCAAAATTATTGTAATATTTGCTTATGTTTAAAACTAGAGGATGCAGCAATTTGTCTTAGGATACAATGCCAAGCACCACTTGTTTTTTTAATCATTATAACGTAATCAATTCCTATTTTCATACAATAAATATTATGATTCAAACATTCTGTAAAAATAATTATATTTTTTAAAGTTAAAAACAAAATTAAATATCCCATAGTCGAACAATTAGAATAACTTTACTATAATTCAAAAAGTGTTTTTCTTAATATTCATTTTTTCTAGGTCACCATCACCAAATATTAGTGAAGACCTTGATAAACCTGATCTGGACATCAGCGTTCCAACTGAAACATTTGGAGAAATGAATCGAAAAAGAAAAATCGATGCAGATAGATTTAGTCCCTCCCAACTCGACGAAGTAAACAGTCAAAAAATTAGTGATGAAATTGTTAACATGATTGTCACTGATAAGTTACCTTTAGAATTTCTTGAAGGCAAGGGATTCAATAAGTTTATGCAAATTGTTGAACCAAAGTATGAAATTCCTTCAAAAACTAGCATTATGTGTAGGATTAGAGCGCATTATGAAAACGCAAAAGAAAAACTTAAGGACAGACTTTTTGAGTGCCCTGATGTGGCAATAACTGCAGAGCGTTGGTCATCTATGGAAACAAAATCTTTTATCACTGTTACTGCTCATTTCATAGATGAGAAATGGCAATATATAAATTTTACTTTATCTACAATCGAGCTGCCAGATGAACCCATATTTGATGATTATTTCACAAATAAATTAAAGGAAATTTGTGAAGAATGGAACATAGATAGAAAAATAACTGTTGTGGTCCATGATATTGCCCTCAAAGTTGAGAACACTTTTACAAGAGAAGAAAAAAATTTTGAACGCAGCGTACCGTGTTTTGCACAGTCCTTGCAAATGTGTATTAATAATGCCCTGGTTTCGAAAAATTTGCAGGAACTGGTAATAAAGAGTAGTTCTGTCGTGTCACATTTTCAAAATTCCGAGCAAGCAAAAAGGGCTTTGAATGAAAATGGAATTAACGCAAAGCTTAATATCGAAGGGCATAAATTGATACAGCAAAAACATAACTGCTGGAAAAGCACTTTTTATATGTTTGAAAGTTTACTGGAACAGAAACAGACAGTGTCTGATATTTTGGCTGACCGCTCCATTACAACTGCCGAAGAAGCATCTTTCCTAGCATTAACAACAGAAGAATGGTATTCAATTAAAAGTGTTACCGAAATTTTAAAACCTTTCGAAATATCGACCACGGTTTTATGTTCGGAGCAAAAATTGACATTATCGATAATAAGGCCTTTAATGACAGCAATAATAAATAATTTCTTGGATAAATTAACTGATCTAGACACAGCCAAACTAAGACGATTCAAAAATATTATTAAAAGGCAAATAACGGAGCGATTTTTATGTAGTGTAACATATTGTAAGGAGGAGGTCCTCTCAATCTTTGACATCACTTCTTTGATGGATCCGAGGTATAAAAATTCATTACCCGAACACATCAAGAATGCAGGAAAAACTTATTTAAATCGTCTACTAACAGAAATGAAGACGGAAATAGTACCAAAAACTGAACAAAAAATAACTTATTATTTAGATTTGCTGTTCGATGAAACACGGGATACTATGGACCCACCAGAAGTGGATGTATATTTTCTTGAGCCTGGTATAAGTAAAAAGGAATGTCCATTAGAATGGTGGAAAAAACGTGAGAATAGATATAGAAAATTATCAAAAATCGCAAAAAAATATTTAGCAATTCCAGCTACTTCTATGCCTTCGGATGTGGCTTTTTCTAATACGCAAAATTTACTGATGGATAGGAGAAGTTGCTTGTCCAATGAGAATATGGATTTTAATATGTCAATATTTTTACATGAAAATGAGAAATATATAAATTAAAATATTCATTATTATTATGTATCATATAATGAACAAAATATAGTGATGATAATCTTTTTCTGATATCTGAAATATAATATTTTAGCATTGAAAAACATTCGTTTTATATTAAAATATAATTTTCTCTAAATTAGTGTTTTATGAGTATGTATTATTTTAATTCAACAGTAACTTGAACTCTAACTTATTTTTAGAAATATATTATCAAGAATATTTAATCATAAATGAATATTTTGTTCTATAGTTTAAAACCATTAAAATATTTAACTTCAGCAAGTTAAAAAATATGGTGCTTACATTAATTTTGTATGAGTAAAGGGCACAAATTTTGTATTATGAAAAAAATATTGTGATATTAACTTCCCGTAGGAGTTATTGTAATCGTCCGAAAATCGAAATTGAAAATTTTTATATTTCTCGATGTTTTGAAGGTTTCTGAAGATTTTGGCATACCTCAGAAAAAATAGATGTGTGTGTGTGTATGTATGTATGGATACAATTTTTCGTCCGCGTTTTCAGGCGCACGGATCAACCGATTTGAATGGTTAAAAAATATTCGATTCCTATTGATAGGCAAATGTGCTGATTACTTTTTGGCAAAGGCAGGTCCAGCCGTTTCGGAGATATGAAGCAAAGAGTGCAGAAAATAAAAATCGAGTTTTTGAGAGATCGGAGCATCGGATTTGAATGATCCAAAAAGCATTCAATTCGTAATGACGGGGAAAAGGGGTGATTAGTTTTTGGCAAAGGCAGGTCCAGCGGTTTTGGGGATACAGAGCTAAATGTGCAAAAAATGGCAGTTTTTGAGAGAACTAAGCGTCCGATTTGAATGATCCAAAGAACGTTTTGCTTGTTTTAACAAAATAATAGCTTTTGAAATCAAAAATTTTGTTTCATTTTTTTGTTCAAAAATTTTTTGCCTATTTTTTTCCAAAATTTTTTTTTTGTATATCGAAAATAATTCTGATTTTAATTGTAATTTTGATTTTAGTTCTAATATACTTTAAACAAATATTTTCAATTTTGCAATTCAGTTTATATAATTCTTATAAATATTAAACAATGTCCTTTATTTTAAATCTGATTGATCAAGTTTACTTACAAACATATATAAATGCCGTCGTTCAGTTCATAAGCCCTTATATTTTGTATATTAAATAAGAATAATTTGAGTTACAGTTACAAAAAATGAGCAATAAATGAGCATAGAAACAAGTATGATTACTATTTTGTGCCTTTACATCCATAGAAACGTCAATTAACTACTTTTTATTTTATTTAATTATTTTATATGCCTTTCCACCTACTTTTTACAAAATACTTTACAATAATTCGACATACTGAACTTGTAAAAAACTAAAAAATATCAGTAGTTATCAAAAAAAGAATAGCTTTTAGAATAAAATTAAAAACAAAATAATAAATAGTGTAGGGCAAGGCACAAATATCCAATTTGACTTTGAACAATTATTGAGCATTTTTTGTACTTTATAGGCTTTGTAGACTCTAGAATTTTATCAGAAATATTCATCAGCAGAGCTGGAATAACTATTTATTTAATGTTTCTCTTGTAAAATTGCATTTTTAAACTGAAATCAATTTTGTATCTTCTATTTTCAATTTTACCTTTTCAGGGTAAAAGTTTAGTTGGTCCTTTTTACTCCATCCACGTGTAAGCTTTTATAGAAGTTATATACATTTTAGAAAAAACAATCAAATATCGTATACTTAAATTTAAAAAAAATATATACTTAAGTTAAAAAAATTAATTTATATTATGCTCTCGTAAACTAAACAACAGTGCTCACAAACAAGAAACTAACGAAACAAAATATTTTTCTTATGGATTCTTAAACATTGACGTCGTAAGAATCAAGGTGATAGCTGATTACACATCTTTTTCCCTCTTCTTTCAAATATTGTGGACCTTGGTGGACCTTGTTACCCTTCAGCCTTGTGGTGAAACTTTAAGCCCCGCTCTACCCTATACCCCAGGTCAATCATTTTTGCTTCTATATAAAACTCATGAATAGTATTCTAAAAGTTTTTGATTTTCAATTATTTAAATTTTGTAAAATTTTATAATATTGTTTCCCCCTATGCTTTGCGTACATTTTCAATTATAATTTAATAACAGCATTATTGTCTTTTATTATGAAAGGTTATAGATATTGTAGGTAACGATTCATAAAAAAGTATCTTTATAGGTTCATATAGATTGTTGAACAATATCATGCCCAAACAGAGAGATGACAATAAAAAAATAATAATTTACGCTTCAAAGCATAAAAGTATAACAAGGTTGTTAAAAAACTATAAAGCTTTGTTACTACATTTAAAGAAAAGGCAAAAACACCTTATAAATATTTTATTATTCATTTGGGTTTGTTCGTCTGATTTTATTTGGAATTCATATATTTTATTAATGAATAAAAATAATATAAAACAATTCTAAATGGTTATTTTTGAAAAGGACAAAAAATATTTGCTGCGGTTCGGTCGAGTAATAAAAACTCCCTAATAGAATATTTTTAGATAATGTCGTCGTAAAAAGTATATCTTTGTAGGAAAATGAGAATGAAATGACAACAAAATCGCAATCATAATTTCAGATATGGTATATGATTTCTGAAATATTTGAAAAACTAGAAACTTTTAAAAAATACTCTAAATGCATTGATTTAAAAAAAAACTTTTATCTATAATGTATAATGTATGGCAATTTTTTAGGTCTGTAGCTAAAGTTTATATGAAGTCTATCTCAACCATATGGTGGTCTAATTTTTTTTTTTTAATAAAATAATAAATCACAAATGTAAAATATAATAAAAAAATCTATACTAAAAACTATAAATTTTCTGATTTTTGTCAAACTATAAAATTGCATATTACTATTATTGAAGTGTTTTATTCTTAGATAATTCGAACATTATACAACTAGAGTATGTAGGTAATATTAAATATATTAAATATTTTCAATATTTATTTTATATTAGCTTATTCCTTTGACAAAATTTTATATCAAATATGGATATTTTTATTTTATCTTTACCTTATTTCTTTGTTAACATTTCATTTCGAATATGGAATATCAAATTCATGATACATGAAGCTCAAAAATTATTAATGAAAAATGGTTCAATTAAGGAATAACCAGGTTCTGTATAAATACTGAACTTTTCACTCTAATAAGCCATACTATTTTACAATTTCTGTAATTTATAGTTTGAATCAAACATTTCTCTTTAAACTACGCTGCAAATATTTTAGTTATATGTACTTTCGGTTTTCAACTCTGCAGGCGAATTATTTTCATAATTAAAATAATTTTATTGCACATGCTATATATTCAATTATCAGTAATTTACTTTTTTACACAAGCACTTATACAAATACGTATACAGCTTTTTGAACATTTTTTTGGATAATTAGTATAACTTCTCAAATTTTGTATCAAAGAAAGATAGACTCACTCCTTTGTATTTCGTAGAGAATATTTCAAGTGTAATACAAAAAATTGAATTATCGAAAATTAAAAAAAAAAAGAATATAATCTCAAGCTTACCATTGCATTTTATTAAATAATTCAATATATGTTAAATACCTTGCGTTACCTTCATACAGAAGTATATTATTTCCAATTAGTTTACATACTATTTACCATTTACCTTTACATTATTTCACTTGATTTTTTATTGTACAATTGAAATAGAAGCCAAATATAGTCCACTCTGTGTTTTCGTGAAACAACTTTAGAGCCAGAGCAGAATTTTTGTCTTCCATTTAACTACAGATTAAGCATTATATTTATTCTAGTTTGGCCACAAAATTTACTAAAAAGCTCATCATATCCTGATCATATCTCAGATTGCTCCGAATTGTGGAATAATCAATTCTCGTTACAAACTCCTTATATGTAGCTCCGATTTGTGGTATGATCAATTCTCGTCACTAATTCCTTATATGTAGCTCCAACTATTATATTAAAAACAATGTGCTAGTATTGCAATTCTTTCATTAAACTAAATATCATAGACTTCTCATCTCATTAAGCATAACTCAATGTACAATTATATTACTCCCTTAATAAATTATTATATCGAACCACCAAAGCATGGACACACGTCAAAACCTTCCAATTAGCCTGAATTTTATTATTTCCTTGATATGAAATCCAAACATAACCACTGGACTGGACAGAAGACTATAAAACCGAAATTCGTTTCGGATTCTGGCTACTTACCCCTTGTATATGGCCCATTCGCATTAAAACCAAAAAGACCATCAACGATAAACCCCAACTACAAACAACGTTATATATATATATATATATATATATATATATATATATTTAATCATTAATAACGGATATTCTTTTATGGGCAATCATATCAACTATAAATTTATACGAAATGATGGTGAAACATTAATCCCACGCATTTGTATAATGCAGCACCATGTTTGTATTTAGGATCATAACGTTTGGGATTATTATACTCGTAGAGGATTAGTAGTATTTTTATTTTGAGCTTATATCATTTCCAATTTTACAAGATAATTCCTTTTATTACGTATTAAAATTATAAATATTAAATTAATATTAAACTAGTGTTGTATGGTATCGTGCCATAAGACAAATTGCTGAAACTTCCTGTACCAACAATAAAAAAAATTAAATGAGATTTAAATTTTTTCAAACTTTGAAATATGACATTTTTTAAGAAATTCTTAATTTTCAAAAATAAATACTAATCGGAGCGCGTAAGCGCCGCGTCGCAGTCTTACAGACAAACGATATTACAAAACCCGTAGAAATGTAAACAAAATTCATACGTATTATTAAAGTCTCCCTAAAGTATCTGATAATTTGATGTGCATATGTCTAATGATCATTTTTACCGCCAAATGGCTTTTTTTTACTTTTATCCCTAGATTTCCGAAACCGCTAGACCTGCCTTTCCCAAATAATCAGTTATTCGTCTTGTCAATACAAGTAAAATGTTTTTTGAATTATTAAAATCAGACGCTCGGTTCTCTTAAAAACTGAGTTATCGTCTTCAGCACTTTTTGCCCCCTGTCTTCGAAATGGCTAGACCTGCCTTTGCCAAAAACTAACCAGCTCGTCTCCTTATCAATAGGAATCAAATGTTTTTTAAATAATTGAAATCGGTTAAACTGTATTCCCAAAATCATGGTCAAAATTTTTTCTCCGAACACCCCTTACACACAGACATACATCCATTTTTTTTCTGAAGTATTCCAAAATGTTCAAAACCTCTAAAACGTAAAAATTTTCATTTTCGATATTTTTGCTTAAATCGATGACTTTATAGTGTCAAGCATTTCTGATAAATTTTCCAAATATAAATTTTGCTGAAAAAGCGTTAATTATTATTAAAAAATTTGTTTTTCTGTTTATTATAATTCGATTTACGTTAAATACATTTACTGGATAGTACAATGTGTATAGGGAAAATTACTACAACCAATCATTAGATTCAAACCTACTAATTCCGTTTATACTAAAGATTTTGCAAAAATGAATTAAAGTAAAAACAACAAACTGAAGCTTTATTCTGGCAAACAATAGAGAATATTAAACAGAAAAGTAAATCAAAGTAAAAAAGTAATTTTACAAGAGTTAAATTAACCAACTCTATTGATGTATATTTCTGACAAAATACCTGATCAAAGAAATTTTCATATCTATGAAATTTATAATTTGCTTTGGTTGAATAATGTAGCTATTATTTTGTAAAATTTCCTTAAAATTGAAAATAAGACATTAGACCTATTTGCCCCCTGTCCGTTTCATTTCACTCTGCATTTTGGGTAAACATTACCAGGTAACAAATTAAAAAAAAAATTCTTTGAACAGCGAAAAACACATTTCTACAATAATGTTTTTGCTACGAGTTTAACTGAATATAGTCAGATACTTTTTTATATGCATTACTTGTTATGATATTATTGATTTGGTTTTCACAATATAATTGCTCAAAAATCAAATTCGACCTTTGTGCTCTACTCTACCTTACGTTATTTAATTGTTTGATTTATAATTTTATTTTTTATTTTTCTATTTTTTTTTTTAATTTTTAGCTATTTTTATATTTGATTTATTATTTTTTATATGACTTTAATATGATGTTTGGTATCATCACTTACTGATTATCCTTTTGTACATGCCAATGTGTAAACAATAAAAAATAGTATATAAGAAGCATATAAAGTTTAAAAAAGCGACAAAAGATATAAAAAGAAGTTATTAAATATTCCAATTATAGTGGTGATTATTTCTGTCGAAGAAACAGTGAGGTCTTTGCAAAAATGTGTCTATAAAATTTTTATTTTGCTTTAGTTAAATAATGTAACTGTTATTTCGTAAAAGTCATTCAACATAATTTGATAGTTGTTGGTTTGATAAGTCATCTATGCTGTAATGCAGGTTTTCAAAGTATAATTACTAAAAACATATTGGACTTTTATGCTCCGTGTCAAATAAATTTTAAGTCATTTCCTCTTTTCTATAGAAATTAGAAATGCAGATGTAAAATACAAAACCACTGCAAAACACCCAAACACAGTAAAAACCATCCTCTTAAGCTAGATGACCGGCGGATGAACTAGACTACTTGG